ATGATTGACTAAGAAATGAGTGTGATACAAATGTGAAACCCTAGAATTGTGTACCCCTTAGTATCTAACCCGCTACAGCCTACACAGGCTAGATCATATAAGTTTGACAACCCTTCCCTAGGATCAATCGGGGATCACCAGTGGACCTCTGACACCCCCCCGTACTGGGATGCCCGAAGTGCACACACTGGGATTCAAACCCGAAACCTTTGCTCAGATACCATGTCAGAATCCCAACCACTAGACCATTGGGATAAAAGGGCTTGTTAAGAAACAAGTCAGTGCGCCCATAACCCCCCAGGCCAGCGAGCCTGTAACCGAAACCCTATGATCAATCGGGGATCACCAGTGGACCTCAGGCTGCAGTCACGTGATTTTGTAGACTTCATATATCTTTATACGATAACTTTAACGAATTCCTACTCTCAGGGGTGTTCGGCTGAAGTTTCCCGATCGGTGCAGAGTCTTTTTTCGCAGAGCCTCCATTTATCTTGGCGATTACCCCTGTTGCCGGCCGGTCATCACGTTGTAAATTCGCACCATCATGATCTCTTTTTTTCGCCCGCTCCGAATTCGCCACGTCGTAGCCTTTTCGCCTTTTCCGGATCTTTTCGTGATCACCAAGTCGATCCGCGGCTACTGGAGACTCCCGGTTTTTGAATTCGGGGGTGTTGCACTGTTGTAGCCCTGCAGCTCCGCTCGTGCCTTCTTCATTTTCCAACACGCCAAGAATCGATGTCTTGCTGCGCGGCAAAAATCGCACTTCTCATATTTTGTCGACTACTGCTTCTCGTCGATCTTGTCGATATCCATCGTGTCGTTGGTCGTGGGTGGTGCCGATCGCTCCGCGCCAAAAGGCCTTTTCGGCACGTGGCGTCGTGTCTCGAGTTGACCTCGCGTCAGCACTTCGAATCTCTCTGCTGCACACACCATGTCGCGGTAGCTACTGTAGTTCGCGGCGATCACCTGTCATCGTACTTCCACTTATAGCCCCTCAGTATACGCTTGGATTTTTTTCCCTTCGGTCAGGTCGGTAATTCGGTTGAAGAGGCTCTCCATCTGCTGTGTGTATTGTATTACGCTGTCGTACTGTTTGTGCCGATGAATCTACTGCAACGCCGTGTAGCTGAAATTGATCGGTTCGAGACGTTGAATTAAAGCTGCCCGAAACTGCGTCCATGACCCCTCGCCTCGGATCTCATGTCTGTTGTAAATCCACTCGAGCGCCAGGCCTCGCAGCACTGTCGCTGCGAGCCAAATCCGCATTGCATCGTCTGTCGGGGTCGTACAGCCAACGGCCTCGAAGTCAATATTGAGGGTCGCAATGAATCGATGGACGTCGGTATCTTTCGCATTCGGATTGAACATCTTTGGTGGCCTCGGTCGTGCCGCCTCAAGATTCACTGTAGCTGCTGCCGCTGCTACTAGGTAAAATGTCGGTGTACCCGCTGCTGTTGCTGTTGCTGTCGCTGCTGCATTCGTTGCTACCGTGGCGGGTGCCGACTTTTTTGTGAGAAGCTCCTCTATTTGCTGGAGTGCCGCTCGCGTCTGGTCCAGGCCGGTGTGAAACGGGATTGAACTCTCACAAGGCGACTCATTGTAACAAGATTTGTTGCCATGTATGAGTTGCGCAGGTGCTCCCAAGAAGCGTACGCTTGTGCCGACTCTGACTTGCAGGAGCGAATGCCAAGCTGCTCGGAAGGGGAGAGGTTTATAAGAAGAGAGGTGTACGCGAGAAGAGACTCATGGTTGTACTGGTTCTTCTCTTGGATGGTGCCTTCCGTCGGAAACGGTAAGCTTCCATCGTAGTACATCCAGATTTGCGCAGTTGTCGCGAGGAGCTCAAACTCGAAGCTCCACGTGTAGAAGTCCTTGCCGTCAAAAGGAATTGATGTCTTCAGCTTTGAAGTCAGAACGAACTTGGTTTACGTTGTCACGATTGTTTCTGACAGTGTGCGATGTTGACTGTCTTGCGCAAGAGCTGAAGCTTGACGGTTGCCAAAGGTAAATGACCTCTCGAAGTTGACGCGGCGGACTTTTCCAGGTAGAGGGAGTCCAGCAACTCCACGTGCGTAGCTTGAGCCATCGATGCAAATAGCTTGATGGCTCTCAAGAGCGTTGATGCGAGCGACGAGCTGCTCGACGAGAGTGGCGCTGACGGAGGTCACCGTTGATGGTGCAGTAGGTGTTGCTGTGGTGGGCCCGGAAAATCTGCAGTGGCTTTTTCTTCGGGAGCCATAGTGATGCAGAGTTTGTAATGGTTTAACGAGTAATTTATAAAGAGGTTGTTCTAGAAAGAACAAGAGCTTAACAGGCATTATAATCCACTCTAGTTCTCATACCATGTTGTTGTAACTGAAGGATCGTAGTGGATAGGATAAGTCTGTCAAGTTTGAAAGAAGACAATGAAGTCTCTATAATGACCTTGTTAATCAAGTTGAAAGAGAACAAGATGATTATATGATAGAAGTGCACGGATATAAATAGCAATCCTAGCTAGCCATGTACTCTGAGGGGTACATTCCTTCATTAACTCAATTACATTGCTACAGTAACCACGACTATTGCTATTCTTGACAGTTACCATGTTGCATCGCGTAACTACCAAGTGCGGTTACTGGGCAGTCAAGGGTCACGACCGTCGAGTGTCTTCGACTGTTGGCCTTCGGGTGACCCTCGACCTTCCGCATGCTCTATAAGAGCTATTGCGATACTGATACATGCGCGTTGCTTCGTTATGGAGTGACGCTCGAGTGGAGAGCCTTCAGGAATGTTACGATAACCTTTCGGTTATTCCAACTGTTTTGACGATTGCATTGCATACATATTGATGGTACGGTACCTCTACCGTACCGAAGTTGAGATGACAAAAGGATGACGTGCTTATGTTATATGACTAATAATTTACTTAACTATTGTTCATGAGCACGTCACCTTCACCTGCAGGTTCACACTATTCAATCTTGAATGCATGTTTGGTTTCAGGGCTCCTAAGAGCATTGATAAAATGAGGAAAGGATTCGATATAGATATAGTGCATTATCCACATTTGCCTAAATTACAGGCACCTCTGTGAAGAATACATACCCTTTTGTTCGGTTATGCCAAGCCTGCTAATGAATCATAGAACGAATTAACAAATACTTCAAACTCTTTCTGAATATTTGGGGCATAGGGAGTTAATACATTTGTATAGACCTTTCGTTACGAAGATAGGTGGTAACGCGTACTTTGTGCCGGATTTTGTTGGCCAGTACGACAGATATTTTTTAGTCGTTGATTTACTGGGCGGCAGCGAATGAAGGTACAGCGAATGAACCAAAGGTTACAACGTGTTATAACACAAATTGTGACTACAGTGGTTGCTAGATACACCTGAGAATGGGGATATACACACGATGCTCAACCCATGCACGCGAATTTGCCCTGCATGCGTTTGAAAGTCTGCACGCGTGTACAATTGATGCCCGTTTGAGCCCCTCGCGGTTGCCTTGTGAAGGGGGTCTGTAAGCTACACTAACATTTTGTGGGGTGTTCGTATGTTTCGTTACACTTTCTATGCGCTTCAAAACTGAAATTGGTAACCACCCATTTTGTCTGTTTTGTAACAGTAACAGTTGGTGCGGAGATAACTGCTGCAACGGGAGCTAGACTTCGGGCTAGGCACGTGTGCTCGTGTGATCTCTGCGTTCCGTAGTCGTTTACTTGTGTGTTCTCTACTTGCACATTCACGGGGAGATTTTGCAAGAGTTTCACTAGCAAAGATTGGCAACAATGGGTAGCAACAACATTGGCATCACAGATTACATCAGAGCTAGCTAGGCTGCTGGTCGACCTCCAGCGCAGCATGGTCGACCGCGCTCCAGCGCAGCAGCGCTCGCACCACTCCAGCGTTGCAGAGTAGCGGTTCGCCAACGTTGCAAGTCCACGGTGTGCCAACGCTGCAGCAAGTTGGCTGCACAGTGTGGCACCCGCATGACAACGGTGCATCTGCTTCGCAGATGCGTGCAGCTGGTTGGTGTGCCACTCCTCATCACGTGCACAGCGCAGACGCCTGGCAGACTCCTCGCCAGCGACTGCGCCCACAAGCCACGTCGACCTCGGGATACCACCCCCGAGGTCGGCCTTGCAGACTCCACCCCGGCGACACTCACGCACGTCGCCCGGGTATCCCGGTCGACCGGGCAACCACGCCCGGTCAATCAGCACAGTCCGTAGCCGGCCACCAATGCTCGGCGTCCCCTGTCCGGCGTCCAGGCGCCCAGGACGCCGTCCGAACCCCCCCAGGTCGGCGTCCAGACGCCCAGGACGCCGATCAGACGCCCAGGTCGGCGTCCGGGCCCCCAGGACGCCCAGGTCGGCGTCTGGGCCTCTTGAACGCCATGTAGACGCCCAAGGCGGCGTCCCAGGCTCCTAGGACGCCGTGCAGACGCCTAGGTCGACGTCTGGCCTTCCAGGACGCCGTGCAGGCGCCCACGACGCTGACCAGGCGCCCGGGTAGTCGTGCCGACGCCCAGGTCGGCGTCCAGCTTCCCAGGACGCCGTCCAAGTGTCCAAGACGCCAACCAGGTGTCCACGACGGCGTCCTCCTGCTCGGCGCCCTCCAGCCAGGCGCCCTTCAGCTCGGCGCCCTTGCAGTGGCCCCCGTGCCCACTGCTGCAGGTCGGCTACAGCCCCCGCACACCCGACCACGAAGTCGGCTCCGCCCAAGAGAGGACGGGGCCAAACAACACTCCCGTTGACAGTTGGCACTCCTTGTCATTAGTCTGTGTTTCTAGTTACCTTACGATTGCAAGAACAATGTACCCTTCATCCTCATCAAATGTTCAACTTAGTCCAAAAACATACAGTCCACTCGAACCACCTATCGGGCGCACCCACTTGGCCCCCCATGTCAAACGTGAGCATCAATCGAATCACTCACAAATGTTCACAAGGAGTGAACACTCGTTCACATCAAGGAGCCTTCGGCTCCTTCACGGGGGGGGGGTAAATTTCACTCACAGACGCATCCACTCCGCCGCGTCTGTATACCCGCCCATCACGGCGCCAACACCGGCGTCCAGCAGCTGCTGACGGCGGGAAGGCTGGGTCATCCACCCAGGCAGCACTCGGCCGCGCGGACGCGGGGTGTCAGGCGTGGGTGTTGCGCCTGGCGTGCGCGCGGCCGGCGGCGTCACGTTCAGATTAATGGGCGGGCTCGCCCGCTCCATGCGCACAATGATGACCGGGTTGTGGATGTCGAAAAGGTGGCACAGGTCGCGCGGCTGGATGCTGATGGCGCGCGCATAGCCAATGAGCATCTCGCACGCCGCCCGAGCCGTGCGTCGCGCTTCACGGCCCACGGGGTCGGCATCCTCATATACGGCCTGCATGGTGGTGGGCGCCTCCCACATTTCCACCTCCATGCCTGCACCCAGCTCATTCGTCATCAGATCCGCCGCGTGCTCGGCGCACGTCGGCTCACCGTCGTCGATGGCGACGTACTCAGCCGCGGACCTCGCGCCATGCCCGAGACCAAGCCCAGAGATGAGAGTCCCGACGTCGCCTATCTCATCATCAAGCTCGATGTCGGGATAGGCGGACGGGGTGGGCTTGTCGCCATGCACGTGCGGCAGCTCCATGGCCCACGAACGCGGGAGGCACCCTGTGCGCCACCAGCACCACTGGATGGTGCGCGCACCGACACCGGTCCACGCGTCCGAGAGCCACGCCAGCACGTCGCAAAGGTTCGGGCGAAACCGCGCGGCGGCGCTTGTGGCCCCGTCCGCGTTCCACATAGCCGTGAAGGCCCGCAACCACTGCTGGCGGTAGCGCGCCTTGGCGGTTGCAATAGTCCCCTGGTCAAGGGGCTGGGTGAAGGTCGTCGTGTTAGGCGGGTCAAAGACCAGGCGCATGTTGCTCATGCAGGTCGTGCGCATGCCGCACACGATTTTGCTCCACGCAAACTCGCTCCTTAGCATGTGCGAGCTGGCGTTGTCGAGCAGAATGACAATGTGGCGGCCCTCCGCATACATGGCCGCATTGAGCTGTGAAATGAAGTGTGTGAACAGCTATAGGAGGGAAGGGGAGGGAGCGGGATGGCCGCATGTGTGGAAATGCACATGCGCGTATAGTTAAGTCACAGGGCGCGCGAATAATTTTCAATGCGTCATGTTAAACAACAAGTGATTGACCACCGACACATACAAAAAGTGCCACACAAACTCACCGGTGACGTCATCCATCCTTTGGCGTTGTTACGCCAGTAGCAGAGCGTTTCAGGGTCATAGTCCGGGCGAAAATCATGCGGGCGCCTCGCCTTAGAGATGACCAACGGGCGGAACGCGTGGCTCCCGTCGGCATTGATGAGAAACGCAGCGGTAAGGCGTTCCTTCGACACCTTTCGCCCTGGAATACGGCCGTTGCTGTAAGTACGCCGCGGGAGCACGGATAGCCACAGCGCGGTTTCGTCGAGGTTGTACGTGTCGCGCGGACGGGCTGAGAGATGCATGAGAAGTCGGGGGAGCTTCTCCTGGCAGTCGCGCACTGCGGCATGGTCCGCGCTGCCCGCCTCGCCGACCGATGCACGGCACCTCACCCCCTGGCGCCGCAACGCACGCCGCACCCATCCGATGGAGCATCGAAACGTGGGCGGAATGCCCATGTTACGAGCCATGGTCGCGACGTGGTCGCGGATGGTTTGCAGCGTCAACGGGACGCCGGCGGGCCCCGCGTTAGAGATCCACCTTGCCATGGCCTGCTCCAGCTCAGGCCATGTGCCTCCCCGCCGGCGGACTGGGTTGTCGCCCGTCTCGACCACAACCCAGCGTTCGGCGCTTTTCAGGATGCGGCCGATGGTAGAGCGGTCCGGGCGAAGGCGATACTGGGAGTAGCACCACCTCGCCAGGTCAACGTGACGCAGGCGTGGGTTCTCCACATGGTGAAGGCATATCTAGCGCTTAATGTGCACAGGGAGCTGCTCACGGCGGTGGAACCGAGGCATGGTGAATGGCGGGGCTGCGGGTTAACGATGCAGAACTGGATTCAATGCCGTTGTTTTAAAGTTGGGCGACTTGCCCATTGATGCTCGCTAGGGGCCTGTTCGGCGTGGCTGGTGGTGAGCTCGGTGCCAGGTTCGTTTCGTGCATTTGGTTTGAGGGTTAGGGTAATGTGTTTTGTAACCACACATTAGGATGCCTGACGTGGGGTGGGCGAACAATGCTTGTTTGATAATGCTCTTGTACCCTACAAGTGCACGATACACGTGGCAGGGTGAACCTGCCAGACTGACTGTTACATGCACCCTCAACCTCGCTTACTTGGCAGGGCAGTCGAGCGAATGCATTCACGAAGCCTACGGGGTTTCGTTCAAACATTCCGGGTGTGTGACTTCTAGCCTAGAAACAAAGAAAACCAGGGTCGGCCTAGCTTGTTACGGACTGCACGTGCAGAATCGGTCGAAGCGCGTGCACTGTAGCCTGCCATCCAGGTGTCTGTACCGTGGGTGCATTTGCCCGGGGTGAGAACATCGGGTGCAGCGTTTCCATCCGGTGCATGGCAAATTCGCGTGCATTGGTTGGGCATCATGTCTATTTGGGGCCAGCCAGTTGCACCCAGCAGTGATAGTGAGCCAATCTTAATGAATACTGACCGACGTCAATTGCCAATGAAATTTTGGTGAACCAATGGTAACGAAGAGACCACTTCAACTGTCAACGTGTAACATTTTAGAATTTTGTAAGCACTTTTTTGCTAACTGCTACATTGACGAATGTTATGAGTTGTAAAAGAGAGTGCGCAGGTAAACGAATAACGAGGCTGTGACTGAATCAACTGCGAATACAATGAGTGCACAGACTAATGTAGGGCTGGTCTAGCTAGGAGGAAACCTCGGACGAGCGAGGTTGGGTGCAGGTTTGGCGATGGGAATGCCGAAGGCGACGCGAGGAGCCTCGGCAGCGTTGAAATCGGCCGAACGTGCGAACTCCAAAAATCGGGTTGTACGCGAAGCAGTCGACCCCGATAAGGAATTCGGGAAAATTCCTTACACCACCCCCCCCTTAAGAAAGGCAGTCAATATCTGAAACACGGCGTCGCGCCAGGTAATCACCAACAAGTGGCGAGGCGTCGAGCGAGGCGGATGGCACCCACATGTCGTCCTCACTGATGCGGTCAGTCCAACGAATTAAGAAATCCATGTGTCGGCCAGCTGCGTCAAGGCGGACCCGATGAGCGAGGATTTTGGAAGGGTCAAGGGTCGGCTCTGGGACAGGTCGGGCTGTCGGGGCAGCTTGCTGACGTGCGATGTCGGTCGTTGCTGGCACGAACTTCCGAAGAAGGCTGATGTGGAAGGCGTCATGGATGCGCCAATCGTCGGGTAGCAACAGCTTCGCGGTGACAGGTGTCACCATCTTGAGAATCTTGAACGGTCCGCAAAATCGTGGCCGTAGTTTCGATGGACCGGGCAGGTTCAGGTTCTTCGTGTCAAGAAGCACTCGTTGCCCAGTTGTCAAGACGAGTTCCCGTCGTAGAAGGTTGGTGTATTTGCGGGAAGTAATATTCGCCTTGCGAATTGCGTCTGCGGCTTTTTCTCGGACTTCCTGAAGTTCCGTCACGAAAGTTTGTGACCTTGGGACCGGATTGTCGAGAGTAGTTGTCGTGGGAACTGTCGGGTCCATCCCGTAATTCAGGAAAAATGGGGAGTGATTAGTTGTGCTGGACAGTGCGTTGTTGAAAGCGAATTCCAACATCGCTAGCGAGTCTTCCCAGCGGGCAGGGTCGGGGCAGTTTGTCCTGATTAGCTGCTCCATGGTCTGGTTGGTCCGCTCCGTTTGACCGTCCGTCTGTGGGTGGTATGCCGATGAGAACTGTAGCTTCGTGCCGTACTGCGCCCATGTCTCCTTCCAGAACTTGGATGTGAACTTTGGGTCTCGGTCACTGATGATCGCCGAAGGGATGCCGTGCAGTCGCACGACCGTTGAGATGAAGAGGCGCGCAGATTCTTTGGCTGTGATTGTCGTTCGGCATGGTGCGAAGTGCGCCATTTTCGTGAAGCGATCGACGACGACGAGAACAGCGTCGCTGCCTGTCGGCCCAGCTGGCATCCCCGTGACGAAATCCATCGTCACTTGCTGCCACGGTCGTTCGGATGGCTCGAGGGGTTGCAGCAGCCCAGCTGGTCGCTGACGTGTTGATTTCATTGCTTGGCACACCCTGCATGAGGACACATAGCGCTGCACGTCGTTAGATGAATCAGGCCAGTAGTATTGACGGTGCAGTAGTTTCTGGGTTTTATCAGCCCCGAAGTGTCCGGAGAAGTTCGAATCGTGGATCTCCTGGATGAGAAGTTCACGCAGCAGTCGGTAAGCGGGAACCCAAATCCGGTCGGTTCCGGCTTTTAGGTAATAGTCCCCTTTCTGCGTCGTAGCCTGCTGATGATTTCCCGTCGTGAAGAATGGGTCCGTCGTATAGCCGTGGGTAAATAGTCCGGTAAGTAACGGGTTCGAGTGGGTGATGAGTACTGCAGCGGATTGTACTGTCGGTCGGGTCAGGGCGTCGGCGATGTTATTAGCCCCCTTTTTGTACGTGATGCGGTAGGTGAAGTGGCTCTCCATGTAGTCCAGCCACCGAATTTGTCGTGGGTTGAGATTGGGTTGGGCTCGCAGGTACTGTAGGGACTTGTGGTCCGTGCGAACAGTGACGTCGGCGCCCACCAGGTAGCATCGCCATAATTTAAACGCGTGTATGATGGTGAGCATCTCCTTGTCGTGGATCGGATAGTTGTGTTCGACTGCCTGCAGCTTGCGTGATTCATAGGCTATCGGCTGCAACCCGTTCCCAAAGTCTTGGAGAAGCACAGCTCCGATGGCGAAATCTGAGGCGTCGGTTACAACTTCGAATGGCTTCGATGGGTCGGCGATGCGCAGCACAGGAGGGGAAACGAGGAAATTCTTGAGTTCATGGAAAGCCGCTTCTGCCTCCTCCCCCCACACAAAATTCTTGTCCTTGTGTAGCAGGTCGGTCAGCGGGCCGGTTATCCCCGCCATATTCGGGATAAACCGCCAGACGTAATTCATGAATCCGAGGAAACTCTGGAGCCCCGTGACGTTCGTCGGGGACTTCCTCTCTTGTATGGTCTTGATTTTCGTCGGGTCGATTTTAATGCCGTCGCGTGAGATGACGTGCCCCAAAAACTCCAACTCCTGCTTAAAAAACTCGCACTTAGAGACCTTGGTGATGAGTCGGTTCTCCTGCAGCCGCTTAAACACTGCATCCAGGTCGCGGAGGTGCTGCTCCCGTGTCTTGCTAAAAATGAGGATATCATCCAATTAGACGATGACACACCGGTCTAGAAGATCCCAAAAAACCCTGTTCATGGTCAGTTGGAAAGTCGAAGGCGCGTTCGTGAGGCCGAAAGGCATCACTGTAAATTCGTAACTCCCGTAGCGTGTGCGAAACGCAGTCTTGTGACAATCGTCGGCGAAGACTCGAATTTGGTGGTAACCGCCATGTAAATCAATCTTCGAGAAATATCGAGCGCTGCGAAGTTGGTCGAGGAGGTCGTCGGTGCGTGGGATTGGGTAGCGAGACTTGATGGTGACCCGGTTCAGCGCGCGATAGTCGATCCACATGCGAAGCCCGCCGTCCTTCTTCGGGGTGAACAGAATCGGTGCTGCGAAAGGAGATGTGTTGGCCCGAATGAACCCTTTCTCCAACAGTGCGTCAATTTGTCGTCGCAGCTCCTCGAGTTCCGGCTGGGTCAACCGCCACTGTGTCCGAACAGTCGGCTACGCGCCAGGTTCCAGCTGGATTTTGTGATCCTCAGGTCTCTCCGGTGGCAGTCCAGGTGGCAGGTCGTCGGGGAAGATGTCCGTGTCAGAATGTCATATTTGTTATCTAGCCTGCAGTGGGGTACTCTATAGCGAGTATAACCCCTTAGGGTTTCATATTTGTATCCCATTGCTTGCTAGTACAACCCTCTCTTTTGCCTAACTTCTTCTTGCCTAGCTAGGTTAGTCCTAGCTATGGCTACTATCGTTACCTACCTATCTTCACATGGTGATCAGAGCAGTACGCTCCTGGCCTATGTGCCTAACCACGTTCCTTCCGCTGCAACTACTACTTTCCCTTACCGCCGTGCGCCTCGAGGCGCGCGGCGGGTTTCTGCCCCGTCACGCCGCGCGCCGCTCCCGGGAGGCGCTGTGACGGGCGACGGGGACCTCCGCGTCGCCCCCCGTCGCCTGTCGTGGCCTTTGTGCGGCCCGTACAGGCAGCGCGCGGCCCGTACGGGCTGCGCCTGACCCACGCGCTGCCCGTATGGGCTGCGCCAGGCTCGCGCGCAGCCCGTATGGGCTGCGCCAGGCCCGCGCGCGGCCCGTACGGGCTGCGCCAGGCCGTCGCGCGGCCCGTACGGGAGACGCCCGACCCGCGCGCGGCTCGGGCTGCATGCGCGCGGCTCGGGCGTCAATACCAGGCCCGTGGTGGGCCCGTTTCCTACCTTCCCTGCCCTCCCCGCTGTTCCCAGTCCCTCTACTACCGCCCTACCCCTCCTACTCCCCATTCTCCTACTTTAGGGTTTGGGGGTGAGGGGTATGGGGGTGACCCTCCTCAGTACCACTCCCTGCTCCTCCTCCTCCTCCGTCTGCTTGTGCTGCAGCTGCCGCTCAGGGGGGGGGT